TTCTCAGAACGAACACGCCAGCGACAGGAATTCTTTTACTTCGCCGGATTAGGCGGAGGTCTGCATCCTCACGGCATTGTCCTGTGAAGCTCTCAAGAGAGCTAAATCTTGCCGATTGGTTTCGGCGAGCTCGCGAGCCATAGAGTCGTGTATTCGAGACTGACTGACTGCGATTCTGGCCAGTAGAAGTCGCTAATTTCATCAGCGACGAAACGAATGCCTCTTCAGATATTGCCGCAAGGCAATGAAGGGCATCTCACTCAACACCAATTAGATGGGGAAAAGTCGCGTGCTCCAAACTCACGTCTGGAGCGTTCAAGTACGACAAATTGCTCATCCCAAACTCGGAGATGAGAAGGACTACTAAGTGCTACCAGGTGTAACGGGCTACAATAACTTTTACTTAGCTTACACTATTCTACGCTTTGAGGAAGCCTAAACGCCCAAGTCTTAGGTATTAAGTACTTTTAAATCCGTTTTATGTTTTGTCTTTTAAATTGTCCTAAGTACGAATGGTTCCCTTGGACTCATGGGAACACTCAATCTACGTGCCTATATCTTACTGGCTAATAATGGTACTGAGCCCACTAAACCAGCTAATATATACGACGTGCTACTTCCACTAACTCAGAATTGTTTCCCCTGCTTAAGTAACATGTAAACGTAATCGAAACTACTTATGTAACGGGTGGCCATCACAGCAAGAACATGGTACCAATACTGTACCACTCAGATCCACTGATCTTTAGTTGGTGTGGACGCTCAAAAGAACCGGTTCGATAATCGCTGTGTAATCCCGTTACACTTCGGGCTCACAATCAGTGGTAGTCCACATAACGAAGAATTGGCTGCGAGCCCGAAAGGTAAAGCTATTGTCTAGCGCGCAAAATGAATGCCAAACTTTTAAAACACACGTTTCTGCCTATCTGTGTGTGCCTGTCTGTAAAAAACGCACCTACGTTCATCTTGTACGTACTAAGTGCGATCGAGTCTCTCCCCCCTCAAAGATATATTAGGATTACCCGAAGTCACTATTTGGAGAGATCACTATTGTGGTGCGCTTACCTAATTGGCTTATTTCGATCAAACATAATATGATCACAAAAGCGAATGATGTACGCAGATATAAAAGGCCGATCGTGTTTCTTGAGTATTCTGTACGGGTTACTATGGGAAACCGTAAGAAAAACATAGGTATTCGCCTAAAAATACTGCGTCATGGTTATGCTATCCATTAGCCTCATCTGATCTGTACCCAAAAAGGTTAAGAAAAGACCACGGTATACTGAGCTTCAACTGAAATGTTTCTAAGATAAGTAGAGCACTCCGCTTTCCAAATGGACTGCATTCTCAAATTTTCGGTAGCATGCTCTGGTCACTGCCCTTGCACACGCTCAGCAATCGCTACACGTGAATGCTGTAACGTCGACTGTTTCACGGCGCATTCATCTGTATTGCTCCCGTTTTTCTCTTTTCGCGGTATTCCCTCCCGCCGTCTCCAGAGATCGTCCACCAATCATCAGACGTCAATCCGAAGCATCCCACGGACATCGCAGTGGGACCCAAAGCCGATGGAGGCAACCACCGGGATGGAGAAGGAGAGGAAGATGCGGCTACTGAATTGGGGGGGGGCGCGGCGATAGAAGCTGAAAATAATTTGTGGCTGTCCGAGACCATGTCAATTAAACCGCTGGGGCTGCGAATGCAGCTGCTGCTAGTTGCCGGAGTTTGTGTTTGTATATTGGGATTTGACCCGTTGCTGGACCCACGTCAGAGATGGTACACAAGTTGGGTATTCAAAAGAAGAATACGGGGGGGGGCTGGCTATCGCAGTGGGTGGAGCCATAGCCGAAGCAATATGAGGGAGAAAAGTGTGTTCTATAGATATGGCTGATGACTTAGCGACTAACAAAATAAACACTTGCTGTTGTGTTTATTGCTATTGCTAAAATTTCCTTTTTGTTGTTGTTGCTGATCGTGTAGACCTACGCTGGTGTCGCGTTCTGGGAGTTGGCAACTTTTAGGCTGGTGCCAAGTTTTTACTACCAGTGTCTAATCACGTGGATGTGCCTAAGAACTAATGAGGTACGAGAACTGACTGCTGGTGAAAGAATGTTGTGGTGATGATTGCAGGGTGCTTGGAGCGATCATGTTTACTATGATCGTATTAACGTAAACCCGTTAGTATTAATGAGCATATAAACGCATTTCCGTAAGCCGCCTGGTCATCGGTGTCAGTCTTTCATTATTTCGATAATCGAGATGAGATTCCTACCCCCTTCCACAGATGCAGCAGCTTCTGGTTGTGTACATCATATCGTTTTTGCCGAAGACAAAGAAGCCTTTTCATGGAGATGTGAAGAGCTGAAACCGACCTGGCCATTTGGTAGCCAGAAGGAAGCTGTAGCGACCGTCAAACAGAACTCCGTACGCCAAGGATTGCCGTCGGCATGTACCGCAGCAATAGAATTGACACCAAGCGCGTTTCCCTATGCTGCTCTAAGGGAAAGCGCTACAAACGATCACACGATCGGCCTATGACATTGCAAGATCGTACTAAAAAGTCGTATATTTGGATGGACTTGCGATCGTATATGACAAACACGCTCCGGAAAATACCGCCTGGTTGACGCTTTCTGTGAATGAATGCCACAATGGCCATATTAGATGTGTTGATAATACCATGCTCTCAGCACTACCGTGCAGCTCGTCGTGCAACGAGAGAAGAGGAAGATTTAGACGCCAAGGTTGTACAGATGCTTAAAGGTTTAGCTACTCTACGGGTTAGTAGTGTGGATGTAATACTCTTAAAGCAACTATTTTATTTTTCAATGCTTATTGTTTTCTTCGGAATTGTGCATGCACTTTATGAACTATTTGTATATATATATATTAGGCTTGTTATTTTCTTCGCTATGTTATAGGTAATCATTCCAAGAGGATGAACGTCCTGATCAAGGCAAAGTGGTGCACATAATATCGCTAGTTAGACTTGGAGGCCTTGAGTAGTAAAACACACACGAAGGCGTTTATGGACCACATGAAAAACCAAGAGATTAATTCTACGGTCGCGGTGGACGAAGAAAATCACGCCCAGCTGCTCTCTTGGCAACCACAACATTCATGGAAATTCATTTGCCTGTATAACAAGGTTGTTATCATTGATTGCACTTACAAGTCAAATATTTACGGCCAACCACTTGCACAAAGTTGGATTTACGTGCACAAACCAGACACTTACTGCCGCAGTTGGACTTATGGAAGGAGAAGCATTTATCGACTACGTATGGATGATTAATGAGATCGATAGGAGTTTTTCTCCGGCTCTAACTATTCTCGTCATCGATTGCGACGTTGGCCTCATTAAATTATAACTGAGAAAAGTCCATGCGCATTTTACTTAATCTGTCGCTTCCAAATCGTGAACAATATGATTACTCGCTTTCAAAAAGTTTGAGTGCCGGTGAGGATGATTGGATAGCTTTCATGGAACACTGAAATGCTATTGTCCATGCACCTACAGAATGTTTGTTTATGCAGATTTGTCAACAGCTCCCATCGATTGCAGTAAGTTCTTTATCGCACGAATTTATAATATGTTTGACCGATACTTGTTTTTTACTACTAATATGTATCTGATAGTTAATTGTTTTGTACAGAACGACAGAGCAACTGCATACCTAAGAACAAGCTCCCTCTTCGACACCATGGTCATTCAGCATCAACCGATTCCAACATTCTGGACTCACAGTCACCTCACGAGTTGAGGGTACGCATCACGCAAACATCAAAAGTTGGCTTAACCCCGTAAGCGGAACTCTTCTCGACGTCAACGAGAGAATTTTATGGGGTGTCGAATCCAATTACATGCAAATTTGCGAAGCGATGGCAAGGGAAAGAAGATGCGAGGTACTCACGAACAGTCCATTAAGCTACTTTCGAAGCTTCATCGCAACATATCGCGGAACGCGCTGTTGCTCCTAAAAACAGTATCCGCTCGCCCTCGATCGAGCGAACCCAAGACGTGCATCGGCTATTACTCAAGATTCCTGGAGATCCCATATGCACACGTTATCGGCTGCCACCTAGACACAAAACAACCCATTGAAGTTGGTAAATTCTTTGAACAATGGCGATTGGATGTCGACAGAAACGACAATACTCTCGACCCCGAGATTTGGTTTTGTGCCCTCTTTTTGTATCCAGAAAGCAAATTCTCGAAAGCGGTCGGACCAGAGATCCACGACGCGCCATCCGTCGGGTTTCGAGCTAGTTGAGAGGCAGCTCCCTCGCAAGACCTGCAACCATTGCCTTGGAATTGGCCACAACCGGCTTCAGTGTCTCTCACGTGCGACGATTGAGCCTGTCCAAGCCAAGGACGCACTATCCCGTCCGATCCGTTTCGAGTGTTGCCATCGCGACAGGCGCACTTGGACATTCCGCCGCTATCTCACCTTTCTCTCTGTGACGCGACGACGCAGCCAATCCAGCCTCTGCAGACACTGTCTCATCCGGTATCGCTGCTTTTCCAACCGTTGCAGGTTCCGCCGGTTCAGTCTCCGTCGCTGCAGATTTGCCGTCACGCTCTTGGCTCCCACCTGCGCCGGAGCCGTCGTCTCGCACTTCAAGACTGCAGTCCGAATAAAAGCGGAGTGTCCTACTTATCTTAGAAACGTTTCTATTGAAAGTCAGTCTAACGTGGTTTTCTCTTAACCTTTTTGGAATACATCAAATAAGGCTAATGGATAGCCTAACCGTCACATAGATTTTTTAGGTGAACACCTATACTTTTTTACGGTTCCCCGGTTACTATGAACACTAACTAATTATACCTAATTTTCAGCGACTGCTGTTGTATAGCGTTTTGCACCTTGAATCAGTTCTCCGGACTGAATTATTCCTATCAAAGGGCGAGCTCCAGAGCTTGCTCTCCTATCGTAATGTCTAAATATACACCCATTGATTGAGAGCTTTGTCATAATAGAACAAAATCGGAAATTATGAAGCATGAACTGAGTCGGTCTGCTATTCGCACGAACACAACTGAAAAATGTACCAATAATATTTACTTTATAAATGAAGGTTCACGACTCGGTATTCACCATTACGGTCCGTACTTGTGCCACTAAACAAGCCTAAGCCTGCTGTGATTATGGCGCGCTGATCGTCTCGTGGAACTTTCCGCTATTGATGCTGTCGTAGAATCTCGGCCCCGCTCTTGCGGCTGGCAAACGATTGTGTCGAAAGCCGCAGAGAAAACACCGCTACTGGCTTTGCGTGTCATAGAGCTCATTATGGAAGCTGATTTCCCTCAGGGCGTGATTAATGTTGTACTGGATGCAGGCAAATCCGGATGCTGCCTCGCACAGCAACCGAACGCTGAAAAGGCCGCCTATATGGGCTCCACTGAGTCTGGCTATTATCTCATGCGCACGTCCTGAGTGGCCAACATGAAGCATGTCACGCTTGAACAGGGTGGCAAGTCGGCCAACATTATTTCGGATGCTGTGGACATAAATCATGTGAACCCAAATAGTCATAACTGGGTCATATCTGAAACAGGGCCAGGACTGCGTTGTCGACATGCGTGTACGAACAGCACAGCAGCTACGGCAAGTTCGTTCGCCGCTGGGTGGATGCCGATGAATCGCGTGTAGCGGGTGAACCGATCGGCTCCAGCACACAGCAAGAAGTGTGATTGATACGACTCAGTTTGAAAAGATACCGGCATGCTTAAAGCGTAGAAGGAGGCGATCGCTTACTGGCTGTTCGAGAGCGACATGATGACAAGTCTTGGTCTGTCCAGCTTTTTGGGTGTTCAGACGTGACGGGCGATGTGGTTGTTGCTCGCAAGGAGATCTTTGGACCGGTCATTCTGACCCTTAAGTTCAACAATTGACGAGGTCACCAAGCGTGCCAACGACTGTATGTACGGGATCGGCGCTGGTGTCGTGACGAAGGATGCCAGCAATGCTATCAGATCTCTAATCGACAAAGTGTAGACACAGTTTGTGTGAATCAATAGGACATATGTTCGACGCAAATACGCTGTAAAGCAGCTTCAAAGGCTCTGGCATTAGCCATGAGAACGGCAAGCTCGGTCTGTGCAAGTACTCTGGGCACAATCGAGTCGTACGGGTATAATGGTCAAGACGGTGACCATTATACCCGTACGACTCGATGTGTTTAAGTCGAGCTCTAAATGCGCATAGTCGCGTTCGTGCGGGTAAATGAGCGGACATGTCGTACTCGAAGGTGTGGTTTGTGCACCACATCGAGAATGTATAGTACATTCTTTGATCAAGCGAAGGAGTCAGGCCACTGCGGGGGATTCATACATCTTCTTGGTCTCAGGTACTATTCTGTAGCAGAAACGAAAGCTTTCGTCATGATTTTGGCAACCGATCGAGTACAAACTGACTTGCCATGTTGTTTGACTATAACCGTTTGTCGTAATTTACGTATGCATGTTGCAGAGTAGACGGCACATAGATAATGGCAAGTAGGGAACGAAGCGAAAGATGAAAGAGCACAACAATGAGCAGATCAGCCACTTGTTGCTGCAGATCACGCAGTTGAAACAGGCCGGTACCGTTTGTTTTGACCCCATTTGCGGGAGTAGGTTTGGAGAGATGACTGCAATTGTCGTGTTGTTGATGTCGGAAGATTTCTCTGATACCCAGTTTGCTTTCTGGTGCTGTCACGCAAGAAGTCTTGGAACAGAATCGCTTTCATGTCATCATGGTGAGCGTCGTCTACACTCATGATAGCAGAAGTGGTACTGGTTGTAGTTGCAGCTACAAACGCTTCGTCTTGTAGGGAACGGAATCTGACAACACGGAAGTGTTGCTGAGCCGCGTGATGAATCGGCTTGGTATCATGATGGAACAGGGCGGGAGAACACATACATGCTGTACCCGATCCTGTTGTGGTGCGGTGTACTTGCTAAATATCATGGATTGATTTTTCAACCGAAGGGATGGTGTTTTCGCAGTAAATATTTTCGTCGGGGTTGTTCGTGCGAATTCTAACACGCGAGAGGGTAAGGCAAGTCACACTATATCACCTCACTAGCTTGAACACAGGTGAATATGTCCAAGACACGATAGTGTCACCAGGTGAGGAAGCTGCTCCTATGATCTTGCATTCCACACGAGTCACTCTGAAGGGTGTGAACAGAGACTGTGGCAATTATCTCGAGTTGAAGTTCATCTTCATAAACGGAGTACGTACGAAGCTAGATGCATGCACTTGGCAGAGCTGCAACAGGTCGGACTCCCCCGAAACCGCTCGTTTGTCGCCAAGTTTGACGGTCACAGCGGCGGCCAGGTGGCTAACTTCGTTGCTAAGCGTGTTGCGACGCATCTAGTACAAGTATCCGGCTTGTTCTCTGGCGCAGGTGAAAGGTGCAATCCCGTACAAGCTCGTCAAGACAATGTATAACACTTCTCAGGCCAGATGAATGAAGCAGCTGCACAGTTGCTGCTGCACTCGTTAGGTGCACCCACATCATTGTGGTCATTTGAGCGACTCACGCAGCGGCAGAGTGCAGGACGGCCACGTGATAACGAGAACTTTTACCATACATCAAAAGCGATGTGATGAATGTAAAGGTGTGCGGGAGAACACACTATAGCTTGGTGTTCCGGTGGTTGTGTGCTCTACCTGTGGGAGAAAGCGTGTATTATTGAGACGCAGGCGGGTTGGTGAGATACGACCATATACTACCGGTCTTGCGCTTTCTTGCAGACTTTTCTCTCGAAACCCGGAATGAAGTGCCGGCAGCACCATGTATCTGCTGACCCCGACATCAAAAGGCGTAACGTTGGCAAGACACAGGGTTTCTCATCGTCGCACAAGACAGGATGTGGGATGTCATGAGTAGCGATGGGGTCTACGCTTCATCCACCTGCTCCTAAACAACGTAAGCAATGCGAGACAGACTTGACATTTCGAGATAGACTTAACATTGACACCAGAAGCTGTTTTGGACATGTGCCTTTGTGTGGAAGTATGTTTGCGATAAACCAATTACTGTGCTCGTTCCTACTGAAATGTGCAAGCTTCACGACAGCCTAAACGATGCTAGCCAGAGACTGTCAGTCCATCGTCGCCAGAGTCGGTAGCCCAGGATCGGTAGACGGCTCCATACTTCAGCCACTGCATAAGCTGCACAAAAAAGGTCAAAGAATATTACATAGCCCTCCCATGGCATCGGATCAATCTTCACCACTGCAATGGGCACCATGTATTGCATACCGGGGACCATGACCGACTCGCCACAAATCAAACATCGGTTCTTCGATCTAATTTAGTTTCGAAAAAATATATCGCAGTACGTCAACGTTTGGCTTCGTTCTCGGGTTTCTTTCAAGCAAGCGGATGAACAGCTCCATCCGTTCCCGTCCTACCTGTTGCACCAATACTTTCACGACAGCATCATTGCTAAAGACGTAACCGCGACCTCGGAATGAAGAGACATACACAGACCAGACGTTGACCATAGAAGAGAAATTGGTCACCGCCTCCGTACTGTCGTCAAGTGTCAGTGGGATCGGCAGCATTTGTAATACTTCTTCAGGGCTAATGGATGCCTCGAGACACGATTGAAACATTGCTTGAAGCATAGCTGGGTATTTCATCACCAGCAGTTGTTGTAAGCTGTCGACACGATCCCTCATGTCAGGTTCGCGCCGAAACCAGAACAAAAACTCCATCGCCTCTTGTTGTCCTCTGTTTTGTACCAGTGTTTCCACGATAGCACCATCGCTGAAGTCGTAACCGCGACTTCCCCCCCGGAAGGAATCGACATACACACAAACCAGACCTTGATCCCATAAAAAGACATCGGTACAACACCCCTCTTATCGTCTCCATGTGTCGCCGCGATGGGTATCAATCGTAATACTTCTTCAGGGCTAATGGATGCCTCCCCGAGACACGATTAGAAACATTGCTTGAAGCATAGCTGGGTATTTCATCACCAGCAGTTGTTGTAAAGCTGTCGACACGATCCTTCAGTCAGGTTCCCCAAACCAGAACAAAAACTCCATCCCTCTTGTTGTCTCTCTGTTTTGTACCATGTTTCCACGATAGCACCATCGCTGAAGTCGTAACCCATTTCAAGAATCGACATACACAAACCAGACCTTGATCCCATAAAAGACATCGTACACTCCCTCCTACTGTCACTAGTGTACAGTGGATCGGCACATTTGTAATACTTCTTCAGCTAATGGATGCCTCGAGACACGATTGAACATTGCTTGAAGCATAGCTGGTATTTCATCACCAGCAGTTGTTGTAAGCTTCGACACGATCCTCTCATGTCAGGTTCGCGCCAAACCAGAACAAAAACTCCATCGCCTCTTGTTGTCCTCTGTTTTGTACCAGTGTTTCCACGATAGCACCATCGCTGAAGTCGTAACCGCGACCTCGGAAGGAATCGACATACACAAACCAGACCTTGATCCCATAAAAGACATCGGTCAACACCCTCTTATCGTCTCCATGTGTCGCCGCGATGGGTATCAATCGTAATACTTCTTCAGGGCTAATGGATGCCTCAAGACACGATTGAACATTTCTGAACATAGCTGGGTATTTCATCACCAGCAGTTGTTGTAAGCTGTCGACACGATCCCTCATGTCAGGTTCGCGCCGAAACCAGAACAAAAACTCCATCGCCTCTTGTTGTCCTCTGTTTTGTACCAGTGTTTCCACGATAGCACCATCGCTGAAGTCGTAACCGCGACCTCGGAAGGAATCAACATACACAAACCAGACCTTGATCCCATAAAAGACATCGGTCAACACCCTCTTATCGTCTCCATGTGTCGCCGCGATGGGTATCAATCGTAATACTTCTTCAGGGCTAATGGATGCCTCGAGACACGATTGAAACATTGCTTGAAGCATAGCTGGGTATTTCATCACCAGCAGTTGTTGTAAGCTGTCGACACGATCCTTCATGTCAGGTTCGCGCCGAAACCAGAACAAAAACTCCATCGCCTCTTGTTGTCCTCTGTTTTGTACCAGTGTTTCCACGATAGCACCATCGCTGAAGTCGTAACCGCGATTTCGGAAGGAATCGACATACACAAACCAGACCTTGATCCCATAAAAGACATCGGTCAACACCCTCTTATCGTCTCCATGTGTCGCCGCGATGGGTATCAATCGTAATACTTCTTCAGGGCTAATGGATGCCTCGAGACACGATTGAAACATTGCTTGAAGCATAGCTGGGTATTTCATCACCAGCAGTTGTTGTAAGCTGTCGACACGATCCTTCATGTCAGGTTCGCGCCGAAACCAGAACAAAAACTCCATCGCCTCTTGTTGTCCTCTGTTTTGTACCAGTGTTTCCACGATAGCACCATCGCTGAAGTCGTAACCGCGATTTCGGAAGGAATCGACATACACAAACCAGACCTTGATCACATAAAAGACATCAACCCACTCCTCCATTCCGTCGTCATGTATCGGTGGTATCGGCAACATTCGAAAAACTTCTTCAGGGCTAATGGCTATCTCGAGACACGATCGAAGCATTACTTGAAGTTTTACTTGAACCTTATCCGGGTGTGTCTTCACCAGCAGTTGTAGCAAGCTGTCGGCACGATCCTCCATGCCAGGTTCGCGTCGAAGCCAGTGCAAAAAACCCATTGCCTCCTGTTGCCCTCTCTTTTGTACCAGTACTTCCAGGATAGCACCATCGCTGACGACGTTAGTGTTGTCTCTGGATGCTTCGACCAACACAAACCAGTCATAGAGCTGACGAAAAACATCTTTCCACGCCTCGATGTCGCTCGTTGTAAGCCTTTTCGTACCACTGATACGTTGCCAGTAGTACATATCGTCAGGGCTCATATGTGCCTTCATCAACCCCCGCTCGATCATTTTCGGTAACATTTGTGGGTAGCTAAACATCAGCAGCCGTATTAAGCCGTCCCTCATATCAGTATTTCTCGTAATTTGCATCAGCTCCTCTTTGGTTGCCTTCGTTAGTAGCAGTTCCAACATCTTTTCATTGCTGAAGTCGTAACCTTCGCCACGGAGAATATTTAAATATGTAAGCCAAAGGTTAAGATTAGACTTATCCAATGGACCCTGTAGCCCCTTTGCCATTTTTAGGCTGTGGAAAAGCACTTCTGGGTCTTGACGTTGCCCAGTCTTGATCAAAGTTTCCGCTACTTCTGTTATGCCCGACAGAAATTGCTGCGGAGGACGGACCCTCTCCTCGCTGTCTTGGTCTTCGAGCTTGGTCTCGTTCGATGCGAAGACTTGAGGCCCCAAAGGACTTGGCGCGACGGACGCGGTTATGTCCATACGGGGAGGAAGAGTGCGCAAGTTAAGAACCATACTGTCGGAGTGATTGTCGCTCTTGTTTGTGGACTGCGCATTTTCCCACAGGGAGATGGCGGACGCTGCGAAAACGTGAAGCAATAGAAGCATGATTCGTCTGATGACAGCTTGACACTTTATAGCGTGAGAAGGCAAGTGGCGATTCCCCCTGGCCGCTAGATGTGGACTATCCAAGTTTCGACCTCATCCCTCTCCTAAGAGATTTGATCAGTATACAACTTTAAGTCAACGAATAAAAAATTAAGTGTTGTATGATGGCAGGCGTTCCAAATTTCTCGCTCGTATACGGTGCTTCAAATACAAGGTTTTCTTAACGTGCGACACCGCGGCGTATAAACGTATGTAGGAATTTTTACAAATTTTCTTTTGGTAAAAAGCTTTCGTTAAGTAGACACGAAAAACAGGTTTTGGAATTGGTCAAAATCGTACCAAGTTTATATAATTGCTATTCATTCCACAATTAGCGATAGTGCTTAACACACCACCGGCAGTTGGTACAACAAAGCTTCTTGTACGGGCAAGACTATTCCGTACTTAAAAATTTGCAATTCTGTACTGCAAACGCCGTCGAACGTTTGTACGAACAACTAGTTAGCTTCATATTTAAAATATACCTGTATTATGCTATATATGGAAGGTCAGAGGTAAGGAGATTAAAGAGCTTCCATTGACGAATTGAACCCAACAAAGAGCAGGAACGTGAAGTTGATGAGGTCGCCCACAACGGCAACGATTTCACCACTGGACAGCAAGTAGACGAGCAGCTGGCCCAGGAGCGTCTTCATGAGCTCGGAGAGGGAGATGTTAAGCCAGTAGAGCACAGCCGTGCTGAAGGACCAAATGCCGAAGAGAGAGAAGGAGACAATGGTGAAGAGGAGACTGGTACCAAAGACGTAGGAAATCACGGTGAACGTGATGCCGAGAAAGTATCAGATACTTTTTGTACGTCAGCGCGTCGCGCTCGCGATAGTATACCGCTCGTTCCCGCAGGGTGAAGGGCAGACAAGCAACGTACTTCACGTATTTTCGATTCAGTGTTGTCATGTAAATGATACCCACGGCTATTTTCAGCTCTTGGTACGTTGTAAGGTCGGCGTTGACGAGCACGAGGCCTAAGATGATGGCCAGGATAAGCGCGAGCCAATACCGAGTCAACTTGTACTATGTTCGCCAGTACATTGACTGGAAATGCTGCATGATCAACCAGAGTTGCATCCAGGAAGTAGCAGCTCGCTCGTGTGCTGGAACACTAATTCGGAAGACTATCAGGTGCAGGTGTCGAACACCAGATTCAGCCAGACGAGTCAGCAACACTTGGTGCTTCAGAGATAGATTTGGACATTACTAATCTTCCAGGTGGAGATGTTCAACCCGTCTTTTGCGCTCAGCACTAAATCCAGTCAATGGAAGCTCTTGAATATCCGCACTAAATCCAGTCAATGGAAGCTCTTGAATCTCCGCACTCTGACCTTCTAAATTAAGCATTATACAGATAATTTCGAACTATTAAGCTGATTAGCTGTTCGTAAAAACGTTTGAAGGCTTTTGCAGTACGGAATAGCAAAATCCAAAGTACGTAATAGCCTCGCCCTTCTTGTACTCTAAATAAAAAATTATAAAAACTTTTGCCTAAACATGTAAACCGAAAACGTCACAGTAGTTAATGTAACTTTAGTGAATGGTCATTTCCACCACCTGTTTTACTATTTTAACCACACCATAACTTTTGTTTAAATTACAGGCGCACCACATCAAAGCACAGAACTACACATCCTACAACAAGGTGCTACCTTGTAGTGCCTTAAGCTCTTCCTGTCAATATAGTGTGTATTGTAATACGTGCCAAAAGCAGCTCAATGAGTTTAGACCATGTGGACTCGCTGCTTTGTACTATACTTCTTCTGCGTTGTAGCAAGAGCCAATTTATTCGTCCTCTCGCTCGAGTAGGAGCTGCTACAAAAACACAATCTTTTGGAATGCTTTGATCCCCTGCAGACGCTGAGCCGTCAGCCCCGCATCGAGTAGAATACCAGACACAGATGTACGCGTCTTTTCGTGTCCAGCAATGCGCGCACCGTGATTTGCCTCGTACGCGTCTTCATAATACTCGTTTACAAAGTCAGCGACGATCTCCACCTTGACTGTCTGAATCACCCACTCGTTGTAGCCAATACACGCTCCATTCAGGGTATTGTAGCAAAGCGGTCACAAGGAAATTTATCGTTCAGCTGGAGTGGGGGATTGGGCGGATCGCGCACCTCAGCTCAGTCCAAAGCGTTATGATTGGTGGGCACAAACCGGCACGGGTCGCTAGCAATAGCGCACCTAACCCCAGTAAGCAGGATCGATATCACTTGGGACAAGGCTAGATGACAGTTGGACCATTTGGATTGCGCGATATATCGTGGGACAGGGCAAGGGAAGATTTGTGATACCTCACCTAGGGATCACGATCCTGGCTTGGGATCACAATCCGGACTTAGGATCACGATCCGGACCTAGGATCAAGATCCGGACCTAGGATCAAGATCTGGACCTAGGATCACGATCTGGACCTAGGATCGCGACCCGGACCCAACATCACGATCCGGACCTAAAAGCGTGATTCGGACCTAGGACTGCGATCCGGAACTGGGGTCACGATCCGGACCTAAAATTACGATCCGGACCTGGGATCACGATCCGAGGCAAATGGTGGTGATATCTCGGGTGGACCACAAGAAGATTCGACTGCCGATACATCTGATGTGGTCCACACCAATACGAGAGGACGATCTTCCTGAAACAGGGACGCGTGACATCCGGTTAGGATATACGGATAAGGCAGAGGGGTAAGTTATAGGTTAATTGGTTAGCATTAAAGAGAATTTAATATACTTCATGAGACGCACGCAACCTCTTCCGGTCAGGATCTTTGGCCTCCCGAAGGATAAAGAGTCGCGATACCCGCCCATATAAGTGTCGCATCTGGATTGTTTGGTCAGGTGCGTTCAAGAATTCTCAGGTAACTACAACTGCGATCGGACGCAGCAAGACACGTAAATGCAAGGCACAACACGACCACGAGACGGATCAAGCGTTCAGAATGCTCGCGCATCAAGGACCCACACAGTGAGCAAGGCTAACTCGTTAAGATCAGGGTAGCTTATATCAGTACCTCACCATTACCCCAGTGATCGCGCGAAGATTTCCTCCCGATCACACAAACTCATCCCAAACACGGTCAAGCTTTCCTCGACACGAGTCCACCTGTAGGAGAGCAACTCTCCTTACCGACGGGTACACAAGGTGAAGAAAGCGATGTACACGGAAACAGAGTATTCCCTCCGTTAGTCGGTCGTCTGGGCGCTAGTGGAGAGTCGGGGTCGACGCATCAAATGAGCGATCACCACTTCACCACAATGGTGCTCGTGAACGGATATTCTAGTGACTCGGGATTTCATCGTGAGTCCCAGAGTGAAGGGGTTAAAGTCAAGAATTAAAATGAGATGGAAGCGTTAGAGGCAAAGGGATAGCCGCAGACGCGTGAATCTAAAGGATCCCCAGATTATCAGAGATTTGGGAGGGGATCGGATAAAAATAAAATGAAAGAGGAAGATCGAGCTTTATATCTGAAGGTTGAATTTCAAACCCTTCCTGCAGTCCCTTCGGGGACCACCGAGGATCGTGCTGCAAAGTATGATTCGCTGGGTGAAAACCCTTTAGCGAAAACTGAGCAAAAGCTCCACAAGACCCCTCAGGCAATGTCGAAGAAGAAGCTTGTGAAGACAGATTGAGTAAAGAAATAAGTGTCTAGATTGGATCAACACGATCGCAGTGAGAAATCGATCAACAAACCGGTTAAGTTCATGGGCGATGCTATGGATACAGAGATGGAAGACCGACGACTGCATCAACTGGCGCAGGGATAACATTTAAAGGCACTCAAGAATCTGCAACCGAGTGACCCCGTGCTAAAGATATTGAAGACCAAGCTACTTGGAAAACATAAGGTCCAATATCTCTACCGAAGACGGCAACTAACCCGCTCGAAGGGATCAACGTGGTCATCCAGCTGCCACAGAATGCAGTATACGTAGCGGGGATGTTTGATGCGAAAAAAATACTGGAGTGCGACCAAGATCAGGTGATCCACGCGTTTCGATCGATATACAAAAAATGGTTCCCTGACGGGTAAGTGCGAATACACGGATCAAGCTGTTGTTACGATCGCCGATGCCCCGAGAGGGTACCATACTGGATCGTCGCATTACAACTCGGCGGAATCCGAGATGGATTCGGACGTTTCAATCGGTATTCAGCGGATGTCTTTAGGCCCAAGTGAAGCAGCACATCCGCTCTATCGGGTGGAGATGATCAAGATCGAACCGCGATCGACGACCACTGGCGCTAAAAGACAAATGACGTCAACTAGGCAAGGAAACATGCAGGCATATCTTGATGAGGCCATAAAACGGTTTCAGCAAGATCAGCGGGAACTGGAATATCAAGCGATATACCCAAGCCAACTGGTCAAGCCTGTAAGAGTCCAAGAACCATGTACCCCAGATGTAGATATGGAATTGGTGCGATCGCACATCAGTCGATCGGAGTTTTACAACCCTGAAGATGCTGATCCCGACTACCCAGGGAAAGAGGAGCGAAGACGTGCGATTGAAGCCACCACAGACCCGCATCAGGAAGGTGGTACGATTCCCCAGCGCACCCGAGTGTCGGCAATGACAGAGCTGAATTAATTCAGTGGCAAAGATCGAGACGAAGATCGAGCTAGAAGCTGGATCAGCAAAGTCAAAATTGCGTTCCTGCGCGATCAGGCTCCTGATGAAGAAAAACATCGGGTGTTCGGCAATCTATTGACGGGACCTGAGCGAAACTGGTACAACCAACTGAGCCAATCTACCCGGCACAGATGGAAGCGATTGTTGGGTTGTTTTATGACCCAGTATTAGGCCAAGGTGTCTCTCTGGCTAGACAATATTATCTAGCGCGAAAGCGGCCGGATGAAAACCCGCTGGAGTATCTGCATCGTCTTAACGTTGCATCCAAGCACGCTAAGATCGCGATCATAGAAGAGAAAATGGCTACCGCGGCCACGCGTCGCCAGCATGTGGAACATTTTATTCCTATGCTCGATGATTATGATCTAGTGAAACAGCTAACTCGATTGCGGCTGACGGACATTGATGAAATGGAAGAAACTCTCCCTGCATGCCAACGGATGGAGAATCGTCCGGTGAAAGCGTCAAAAGGATCGAACAGATTCCATCAGCAAACGACCGTGCCTCCCATTACAATGTCATCCAAAACAGCCCGGGAAGTGAGGGCGATCCGCAAGAGAGTCGAAAGCAGCGTATCAGAAATAGACTAAATTGGATTCGATAAAAGCCAAGAATCGTCGCCGGGTCTGTGTGACTTCTATGTCTGATCAAGAAAAATCGGACAAGGATCGTCGTGCTTGGCATAGGAACACTGGTGAAAGAGATAGAGGTGACCGAAGTGGAAATACGAAGGCGTGTACCCATTGTGGATCTACCAGACACGAAGATCGAGGATGCTGGCAGAGACTGACGTGCTAGAAATGTGGCCGCAAAGGACATCCATCGGACAAGTTTTTTATGGATGTGCAACTTGCGTTGCGGTGCATGAGAATGACAAGTGCCCCATGGAAGAATTCTTTAACTGTATCCGAAAGCGGTATGATTTTACCAAAAACGCGGAGATGCATCCCTCCAAGGTAAAGAAAATGTTAAACGAGGACGCTCGACAGATTGAAATGTGCACGAGTCGAGCGTTCTAGGCTATGCATGTCTGAATTTGTTAAGAAACGGTGGAAGGATCAAGGAGTCAAGGATCGGCGCAATCCGATCGCTAATGTATGTGATCGTTCACCATTCGTTTCTTCTATATCAAATGGGAATCGAGTGGACAATTATGCCCGATCCCCTGTGAAGATGGAGCTCGATATTGGCCTAGGGGAGTCAAGGGGATACTGGAACTATCATACTCCGGGAAAGTGGTTCAAGCAAAAGAAAAGCAGTAGGCATTATCAACAATGAGAAGACCGCTATGATGTTGAATGGTGGAGCAGAAATCTCGATCATCGACACAACCTTTGCTCGTAAGGTAGGCTGCAAGATTGATGAAAGTGAGCGCAAGAATGTGTTGGTATCGGGGGAGTGACTATATGACGATGGGCCGGACCAAGATCAAGATCACACTAGACGGATCACTAGCATACTATTATGATGTCTGGGTTGGCGATCAGGTTGGTCAATTATTCACACTACGTATGAAATGTATGGTCCCAGCAGGCATCCCTTTGGATCTTGCCGACGGAATCCTGCGTATACCAATTGAAGTTTGGATCAGTTTGGCTGGACGGAGACCACCATACCGATCGAATTGATCGGTGATTAACCTTAACGATTAACAACTTGTGATACCCGCCGGTAAATCTATGGAAATTAGGATCGGCGTCCATCCTTTCAAGTCTAAGCTTTGGGTGAGACGAGATGTGGCGTGGATTCCTACCGTAACAAATGGGTCCGGAAGGATTAAGTTCTTGAAGCTTACGAATACAAGCGATCATAATTTGGTCTTACATTATATGGCCCCTACAGCGTTGTGGATCACAGAAGTCATGACACCGCGATCTCAAGGATACGTATTTGTAGGATCGCGGCGGTATATGGGATAACCGACATTTGACTCTTAAGCCACTAAGGATTGAGAGGAAGAAGAAGTTGAAGCATACACGGGCTCGTTAGTGGATCATCCTGCGTATAAGAAACCTACCCGAATCTTAACACGACCAAAACGGGAATCAGACGACGTTAAGGATTCTGTGGAAATCACTCCTCTGTCCTAATCTGATGATAACTCTCGTGATGGGTTACAGGGCGAGTACACGGGTGTAAAGATTGACGAAGACAAGGATGGAAAATCGACGATGAGATCGAGCGCGGTCAACGCAGTGCGGGAGACGCCGGAATAACCGGGTGAGATATAAGTGGTTACAAAGGAGGAGAAAACACAGGAAGACGGCCATGATATAACTGATCCGCTACAAGGACAGAATAACTATCAGCCAGACGAGATCAAGATCGAAGATCGTAAATTGCATGCCCGGTCCACACGACTAGACGACAACGCGGAAGCTATTATCATCGACATCGAAGTGACGAAAGACAACACACTGTATGATTAAATATACTATCATGAAGGAGGCGACCCGTTCGCGGAAGTTGTGGAACAGCATGTGGCTGTGCTGCCGGAGATAACTACCTCCACGACCGGGATAACGATAGACGATGTCCAGGTTGGCGATCCTGGAATACCCTTGACAGAGGATCGGGAGGGTTTGAGACAATTAATATGGAAGAGTCGTCATCTGTAAATAGGGAATAGAGACGCATTACTTCCCGTAGCGCGCAGGGGCTGTTTGTAGTATTGATGTGGGAGAGGCAAGGCCGATCGCGCAGCGCGTACTACCTGTTGCGCCAAAATGTCGTGAGGGTTAGACGATCTGATAAAAGGCCTATTGTCGACCAAGATTATCCGACCTTCGACATCGACGTGGGCATCACCGATAGTCGTGATCACTAAGAAGAGTGGAGAAGATAGCCGACTGTGTATCGACTATCGACGAGTGAATGAGCTAACACGGTTGATGGTGTATTTTATGCCGCTTATTAGTGAACTGTCGCAGGATATGGACAAAGCAATGTGATACTGTTCAATGGAAGTGGCGAGTGGATTTTGGGTGGTAGAAATGACCGAGAGAGCGAAGTTAATCTCTGCGCTTATCACACCGTCAGGCCTATTTGAATGGTTGCGGATCCCTTTGGAATAAAGAATGCCCCTCAAATTTATCAGAGGTTTATTGATAACGCTCTATACGAGTACCTCAATTTCGGCGCAGATAAGGATGTGAACACAACAGATTTTCCAAGTTGACCGATGTGTTCACCGAAGGAGAACTATAAACCGATCGGACGCCGTAAGTGCTAGGACGATGATCCTATATTGATGATATATTGATCCCTTCTACGTCATGGGCTTCCTTGTACAACCAGATTAAGCGATTACTGACGGTATGCGATCGATGGAATTTGTCGATCAGCTCGACTAAAAGGTTTGTGGACGGCGTAATGTGGACTACCTAGGTCATCAGGTATCTTTAGCCGGGTTGGAGGCCTACCCCAGGATCCAGGATCGCTAGTCAACATCCCTTTCCCCACAACGTTGCATTCCATGCAATCATTCATGGGTAAATTGAACTATTACAGTCACTTCGTAAAAGATTTTGCAGTTTATGCCTCGGTTTTGTACGAGCTACGAGAGGCGGATTCTTTCGAGATAAGGCATATGAAGGATCGGGAGGAAATTACAGGAGATCGCGATTGCACCCTACGAGGAGATGATCTTAATTTGATGAGACGATCTCGGTGAGAAAAGCCACTATCGCATTAACCCTGTTAAAAGGATAAGGTTGCGGATACCCCAATCCTCAATCACTTCGATCTAGATCGAATGCCAGTGATCGTAGTACAAGCTAGTAAGTGGGCGGAATCGACCTCCCTGTTGCAGGAACATTATGGTGCGTATTGGCCTCACGAGTCGCGCACTGAAGCCCAGCGAGATCAATTGCGGCATGGTTGAGAACGAAGCACAAGCTCTACTTCATTTTGGTGGTGTTTATACTATGCTAGTATCCCGAAAGATCAGGGTGCTGACTCAATGTTCGACATTAGCCCGGCTAGTTCATTCTTCTGGCCTCAACGGGAGACTAGGAAGGTGGGCCGCGCTACTATCGAATTACACACTGGAGGTCAGGCGATGCGAAAAACGGGAAGATGATATACTCGGCGTACTCGCAGCTAGCATAACGCCTCGAAAAGAGGTAGATGATATGTTGATCGCGATCGATCCACAGAAGCAACCTAAACAATTGATAACCATGCCACCCCTACGATGGAACCGGATGAGAGCCTCTTGGTTGTTAGTTTCGACAGATCGGCGCGAACCAAACGGAAGAGTGGGTCATATAGCGCGATCGTGTAGAATCTACCAGAATGGACTATTATTGCGGCCGCTTTGGAATACGCAGCAGATCTGACGGTGAATGCAGCCGAATATCGCGGCATGTTACTGGGTTTCGATCTGCTAGATGGCCAGACTAGGGGACGAGTCATTATATGTGGTGACTCGAAATTTAGTGATCTGGCAAATGCGAGGTGAGATGGATTGTAAGTGCCCGGGTTACATTTGTTGCGTCAGAAGGAAAAACAGAAACTTTGATCATGGCCGAAGCACAAGTTTTTCATATGAAGCGAGAATGGTATCAGAGTGCGGATAGACTAGCTAGCGCATCCTTGAAGAATTAAAAAGGAATAACTGTGCTGACTGAAGAAGATCTGTGAGATCTGACTACGATGAAATGTTTAGGTGAACTTTTGATGCCTAAGCCGGACACTGCAATTGCACGAATTACCGCGATCACGAGATCGCTTGGAAAGAGACGACCTCAGGCTCAAGGGTTATAGGAGGAGATAGTGCAGAAAATGAGAATTCGGCGAATTGGTCAGGCTCATGAAGAAGAACGTTGGATCGTCAATCTGAAGAAGTATCTTAACGGTGATACATCCTGTCTGGACGCAGGAGAAGCGAAGATGTGTGCAAAATATGCGTCAGAGTTTGGGATTGATCAGAACGACTTGCTGTTTTTCTACCCTAC